CAGGTAGGCAGCCCTCCTGGCCAGGCCGGCATGGGCTCAGGAGGGGCTCCATGCTGGAGAGACGCTGAGGCGCAGGGACGCTGCTGGGGACAGCCTTTCGGCAAGGCTCCCGCAGGGCAGGATGCTCGGCGAAGGGAGCTCCTGGGCTGGGGGGGTTAGGGGAGATGACCTCTCCACTGGTGTAGTTGTGCTGAGAAGCTGGAGGAGGCGACTTGAGCACACCGCAGCTGCCCAGGACGTGGGGACCTCGGGAACACCCCAGCACCTTCGTTTTTTTAGCTTTGTGGGTTTTGCACCAACCCTTCAGGGTCTAGTCCATGGTTTTGGCAGGACGGCTGCCGGGGCAGACGTCAACCCCAGCATTTCCCTGGGAGCAGATGAGACACGGCCTGCGCCCTGGCTGCCACAAAAGCCCGGCTCCTTTTTGGCCAAGACCACCAGCCAGGGAAGGCCAGGGGCCTTCTGAGCATTTAATTTTCCCTGTGATGCCAGCCACAAAGAATAACACCCACCTGCCTCACTCAACAAGAAAAAGTGGGGACTTGCCCTCAGTGGCCGCCCCAGCAGCATCTTCTTAACGCTCCTGCTTGGCCGCCCCCAGCCCCTGCCTCTTGTCCCCCCAGCCCCATTTTGGCTTGCCTCCTCTCAGCTGGGATTCCAGGGAATGGACGGCCACACTTGCAGCACCATTGCCCGGCCGGTGCAGCCAGAGCAGGGATTGCCGGGGCGGTGTGGGAGCAGGCGGGAGGTGATGCTGTCACCTTTCTGTGCCTCTTCCCAACTTTGTCATCCTGGGGACCTTTGTGTGGATCCCATTTTTATCTGTGTTTTCTCCTTCTCTCTCTTTCTCTCCTTCTCTCTCGCTTTCTTCTCTCCCCCTCCCGTCAGTATGTGGGTTGATCACTGCTCAAACTTTTAATTCAGATGGTAATTGGAATAATAATACGGGCAGAATCCTTCTGGCTCCGTTGCTGCAGCTGGCTTCAGGGAGCTATGAATAGCTCTGAGTCACACACTGAGATGGTTTAACTTCAAATCATTTTGTTTTGTTTTCATATTACCCATCCCCAGGCTCCAGGGCTTCACGGGGTGGGGGGGAAAAATCCCCCCCTCTCACTCCACCCCAAAATATAAACTGGGCAGAGGCATATTAATAAAATCCTCTTTTGGAGAGAGAAACTGGTCAGCGGATCATGCCTTGCGGGGCAGATGGGGACTGTTGGCACTTACACGATCTATTTATAATTATTGAACGAAAAGGCAGAAGTGTGTATATAAAAATGGTATAGAGTTGATTACAGCTTCCTCCCCTCACCTTCCATATGTCACTTGCCTTTTTAATATGGTAAAACTCTCCCGCACGGTGACTTGTGCCTTTGCGCGTGTTTGTACAGCGCCTAGCACCCAGCCCTGCCAGCACCGAGGAGCGAGAGCTTGGCCGCTGCCTCTTGCAGCGAGACAGCCCCCCGGCACCAAGCTGCCCTTTGAGCCCCGGCATGAACCCCGGGAGTATTTGTGAGGAAGAGGATACGAGATGGAGTTACAAAGAGGATGGAGAGGACAAACCAAATATCGTGGGTCTGCTCTGCAAAAAGCCAAAGGGGTCCCCTCTCTGCTGTGGGTGTTTCCACCCTGACTCCCCAAGAGGTGAGAAGACATCTGCTGTGTTGTCACCATGCCCGAGCCGGCAGGATGGGTCTGTGGATGCTGATCTCAAAACCAGACGGTGCTACCCAGTCAGTAAGAGGAATAAAGGCACAAAGTGCGGCACAACCAGCGGCTGCAGTATTGACCACAGACAGGAGGGAAGCATTTGCCAGACGACTCCAGATAAAGCAAAGACTAAGAGTGTAAAAATACTCTGGGATTTTTCCATCATCGTCGTTCACGGTGTACGTCCCAGAGCACCAGATATGGTTGTTATAAAAAGAGAAGTGGGGGAGTACTTCGGCGTGGACTTTTCTGTTCTGTTTCATGAGACTCTTCCACTGCAAATTTAAGGAAGGATTGTCAAATATGATCTGCTCTGGCAGGGGCTGGAGAAAGCCTGGGATGTGCGAGGCACTGCACCGTGTATTGGGATGGAGCAATGGAGGCATTGCATCAGCACCACCCGCCCTGACATTATTATTAGCCCGCAGATCCCTTGGAAAGCGATGGCAGCAGCCCGGCCCCATGCATCTGCTCGGGGTCAAAGCAGTGCTGCGGTGGCAGCGCGGGCTGGTGCAATGGCCTGTGCCGCTGGAGCGCGACATCACCCAGGAAGGCAGGGATTACTGCAGCACGGCGGTGGTGTCCCCAGCATCGCTCAATCTAGGGCACAGGAGGGGGAAAGCGTTTGGGAAGGAGGGAAGGGCAGCCCAGGCTGCCGGGCAGGAGGCAGCTGTTGGCCCCTGGAGACCCACCTTGCTGACAGCTTCAATGCTGCAAGACAGGGGCTGCGATGCCCACACTACAGCAGCTTCCTGAAGTGCCGGGGGGCTTCCTCAGGCCGTGAAATACGTGGGTATTCATGTATGCCGGGGACAGGAGGGATGGAGAGCCATCTCTCAGAACTGCAGTCTCCTGCCTAGCATCTCCCAGGGTGTCCCATGCTGCACCCGCTGGTGGGGTTTCATCCCACTCCCCAGGAGTTGTCACTGACTCCCCAGCTTCTTCCGCGCACATGTGGATCCCAGGAGGCAGAAAACCTCCAAGAAAGGTCCTTGGGCATGCTCCAGGATTTGCACCTCTGTCCTTGGCCGGGCTTTCCTCCCCCTGGTCTGTGCAATAGGCGGCTGCCTGTTTGGGATGGGAATGGCGTTCCTTTTTGCCAGAGGCATCTCTGAGCCTTCCCCCTTCATCCCATTTGTGTTTCAGGTTTCCAAGGAGCAATGGGACCCTTTCACAGCCATTTGAAAGGAGCTGGCATAGGGTTTGGGCTCCTGGTTTAGCCCCTGGCCTTGCCGAGCTGGTGGCACCCATTTTGTAGTCAGGAATGTCCGCGATGGCCCTGGGCCACCAGCTGCTGAGGAGGGACGGTGGCTACATCACCTCCTGGCGTGGCATCTCTGGGGGGAATGCTGGCCCAATGTGATGGCAGTCCCCAGCCCAGGGCTTCTTGCCTGCCTGTCTGTCTTTCCCATGGCGTCCCCGCACGCTGTGGGGGTATGTTGGGGTGGAAGCGGTAAGTGGGTTTATTTTCGTTCGTCTCCTGGCTCTTGCCGCTCTGAGTTTGTGGCGCCCGGTATTACTAACGCTTCCTTGCGCCAGCTGGCAGCGGGGGATGAATCAGATTGACAGCACCATGGCGTGAACCCCTCGCTGGCCGGCCAGCTTGGTGCGATGCCTCTGGCCAAATCGCTGGTGATGTCTCCTGCCTCTGCCCAGGGTGAGCCCTGGCACCAAAATGCCAGTGGCTTGATCTCGCCGCTTGAGATCTCTGGGTCTCATCTCACACCCTCTCGCAGCTGACCTGCGGTAGCCTGCGGGCCATGGCTGTCCCCTCTGCCCCATGCTGCCTGCCCGGGTCTGGCCGGTCCCTGTCCCTAACGCATGCTGGAGGTCTCAGGCAGCTTCATGAGCTCCTCTCTGCCCACTGGCAGCATCCCTGAGCTGGGCTTGGCTCTGCAGCCATGGGGACCCGGCTCATCCTCTTGCTGCCAAAAAAGCACTTTTGCAGTTGATCGGTTCCTCTCCCCCGGTCATGACCTCACAGCAGGCAGTGAGTCACACGATGACATCACAGACCTTGGTGATTGCTGTTCTCCCTGTAGCAAAGACAGAGATGCCTGGTCCTCCCCTCCGCTCACTCCCAAACACCCTGGTGATCTAAACGGAGGGATTTTGGTGACTGCCTCTTGCTCCACGAGCATCACCAAGGCTGCAGAAGCTGGTGCACTGCCTGTCAGTGTCACCTGCCTGTGTGACCTGGGCTCCAGGAGGATAATTTTGATCCTTCCACTTGCTGCAGCCCAAAGTGTCGTGAAGAATGTCATGGCTGCTTGGCATCTCTGGGACAATGGAGAGGGTCTGCCCAGAATTTCAAGGCTTGGAAGATGATGATGATGACAATGACAACGATGACGAATTCAGCTACCCCTGCCAATCCACACGTCCTCCACCCCAATGCAAGAGCCATGACAGCTCAGGTGATGGTCAGGTGGAGGATCTGGGGGAACCCATCCCATTTTCCCTAAATCCCAGGCACTCTTACATGGTGAAAGACGACGGAGTGAAAAATAGAATATATGCCAAGAAGGTGATCAAGCATGCACTGGAGCTTGAGGAGGAAGCTCAGGAGTTTCAGGAACCATGTTACAAAGACACAGAAATGCTTGGCAGCTTGTCCGAAGATGAGGACCACAGCTGGACCCGTCACCTTCCTGTGCATCAAAGGTCTCACGTTCTCCGAAATGCCAGTATGGCACCATGCGGCTCCTATGACTCTTTCCAGTGTAGCGCGGGCAAGCACTTGGGGATGGATGCCTTTGCCACATGGGCCCATGCCAGTGACCCTTATCTGGGGTACCCAGAGCGCACCAAGGGAGCAGAGCCCCACATGCTGCACGAGGAGGCCATTGGGGACAGGGAGCTCCCGTCCCTGCATCTGACCCATGACACGCTCAGGGAGGAGAATGCCACGCTCAGGAGGGTGGTCAGGAGCATGCAGAGCTCCTTGGAGAGCCAGGCGTGCACGGTGCAGAGGCTGGAGAGGCAGCTGAAGGCCAGTCTGGCCAAAGAGGAGAGGGAAGCCCAAGAGCTACAGTCCTTTGTCCAGCGGATGGAGTGGAGTCTCCAGCTAATGACCCAGCGGGCTCTGGAGGCAGAAAGCAACGTGGAGAAGCTGAAGCAGGAGATCTTTATTCTCCAGGGAGAGCTGGAGAGCTCCAAGGTGGAGAACGAAAACCTGAGAGCAGGCCAAACGACTGACCTAGGAGCTGTGAAGCACAACATAAACTTCGCCTTGCAGAACCTCCACAAGATAATAACGGGTGCAAACTGGTCCATCAGACAGCTTGTCTCTGGAGCAGAGTCCCTGCACTTTGTTGCTGAGGTCCTTCAATCCACTGGCAAGATTTCCGAAGTTGAAGCAGAAAAAGAGCTATAAAGTTAATTCTGTGTGGGTCCTATGCACGAGTATATGCACCAAGACCACCAGTTTCCCACTACAGCCTATACTAAAATCATTTGCTCTCATGTGCTGGAATGTGTGTGTTCAAATCATTAGCCTTTATTCTTCATAGAAATACTTTTCTTGTGATTAAGTACAAATTGCAGGTAGTGATGTGGTTTTAGCTGCTGATGCTCTGTTCTGGCACTGCGGAGCCAGAAGCAAACGTTTCCCAGGCTCTGAGCTGCAAGCTCCAGCTGTGGTGGGCTCTGCGCTGGAGGCCGTGCCGCAGCTCCGGCTGACTTGAGCTCCCATGTAGGAGCCAGGAGGAAGCACAGCAGCATGGGATGCAGAGCTCCTAAACAGTGCACCCATCCCTTCCCTCAGCTGTACCAGCCAGAATGGGAGACGAGCACAGCCCTTGAGGTACCTACATTTCATCTGCTTCCTTTGCCCCTTCTCGGTGAGCTGGGGAAGGTGAGAGCAGAGATCTGGGTGCTGCTAGACATGGTTGCAGTGGGCAGAAGCTCCTTTGGTCTTCCTCCTCTTTTGGACCCGACCACCACCTGGGCCAGAAATCCGAAGTCTCTAGAAACTGTGCACCTGTTCCTGGAGCTGGGGAAAGGGGTGGTAGTGGTGGCCAGAAACCTTTGGGAAGTTGTGAAGTATCCATATGCAAGCTGTGGCAGTGCCTTTCCTCCGGTATCAGTGTCAGTGCTGGCTAAGGATGAGCTTGGCTTATGCGGGTTGGCTTAAGGAAGGCAACCTTTGGAGAGGATGCCCTTCCTCTCCTGGCTGGAGCTGGCATAGAGGAGTATACCTAAAGTGCCCACCTTTGTCACCTCCTAAAGACCTGTGGGACCCTGCAGTCCAAACTCCTCATGTAATCACTGAAGATACGTCTTAGCTTTATCTTAGTGGGGCCATCTGTGGGCATGAAGATGCTTCATCAGCTGGCCATCCCTCAACATTTCTGGTGAATTTAGGTACCAACCCCAGTTTCTGCTGTAGGTTTACCCAGCTGCACAACAAAATTTCTCCTATCTGGCCAAACTGACCCTCCTTAAAGACTTGGGCACTGTAGGTCAGTGAGGAGGTGGGTGCTGGCAGAGTTCAGTGCCAAAGTGCTTTTTTCCTGGTGGGAATTTTTTGGGCAGCGGTTCACTTTTACCTCTATATGGTGAGTTGCGGACTACAAGGTTGCTGTCCTCTCCTGGTCCTATAATATCCCTGGTCTGAACAACCATGTTTGTGTTGCCACAGGGCTTAAACTGCCTCAAGTAACCTTGGTTTCTGGAGGAGATACTACTGGTTAATCTTCATCCCAGACATGACAATGGCAGTGCTTGCACATCAGAGGTGATGTCTGGAGATCATTACTTGCTGCTTTCTAGTCTGTGCTCCTAACTGTGGAAAACTGGTGGTCACCCTTAGCCACATGAAGCCCCATTCTGCCATTTACTCATCATCACTGATGATGAGACCAGGATGGTTCTCACCAGCTTTTCTGTCCCCAACAACATTGCTTGCTGTTCATCTCTCCTGTCTGTGCATGACTACTTGCAAGCAACTCTAAACCTTGGATTTGACCCCAAAATCCTTGGATTTGTCCCAGATATGGCAACCACTGGTTGCTCATCGGTGAGGCTGGGGGAAAACGAACTAGCTGGCTGTGTCTGTGTCCTGCGCTCCACACTGGCTGCTGTAATCCAAAGGTTACAGTGCAGGATTAGCATGGGTGTACAAAGCCCTTCCTAATCTGTGAGTCATTACCCCCTCACTGTATTTCACTTCCCAGCAGCTCTGTGCAGGCGGGATAGGTCTCCTCTTGAGTCTTCGGTTTCCCCGTTCTTCAGTTCAGGGAGGATCGGGGTTGGGACGTAACATCTCCTGGACATCCTCCCCAGGGCTCTGCTGCTGAGCCGCTCCTTGGATGCTGTACACAGGGCACATCACAAGGTCTGTTTGCTCTAACTGGCTTCTCCTTGGCTACCCCTAAGCCTTTCCTTTCCATCAGTTCTCCTTTCTGTCTCTACCCGTCACTTTTCTTCTCCTCTTTGAAACGGGGGCAATGTTCTGCACCCCCTGGAAATAAATTCCCTCTGGGTCAGGCTGGGCTGATGGGGATCCCTGAGGGCTGCAGTGCATGTCTGTGCTTCATTAGTCCTTGTGTGTGAGGTATTTAGTCTGGCTGAGCTCTTGTCCTAGTGTAAGCTATGATATTAATATAAGGGCTCAGGGCAAGGGCCCTGCAAGCTGCTCAACCGTTGTGCCCTTGATCTGGAGAGCGGTGACCGGACGGCCTTGCACCTTTCTTGGTGGTAGATGCTGGGGAGTGTGGGGGCTGTGGGCTGTGCAACCCAGTCTGCATCCATCAGCTCCTCACCTGCCTGAGCCAGGCTGCAGCATGGTGCCTGACAGACACCTCCAAACCCATCCTGAGCAAAAGGTTGGGAGCCCTGTGCCCCCCCGCTCCGGGACTGGAACGGGTGTTGTCAAGGGAGGCTCTGACTGGGTTTTGCTTCATCCTTCTCTGCAAGGCACATGCCCAGGAGCAATCACAATGGCAGCACGGTCCCCAGCTCACCAAAGGTGAAACCCAGAGCCGCCTGGTCCCATGTGAGCGCTGCTGCATGAGATCCCGTGTGCTCCCAGCTCCCGCGGCCCCCTGACACCTGATGATACAGCGAGCTATGGGCAGCGTCCGAGTCAACCGGTGAGTAACCCACTTCTCAGGGACTGCTGCTGGCCAGGGTGGCCTGTTCCTCCTCATCTGGCCCCTCAGGCCCTACTTTCAGTCTGCCTTTTGGTATATTCTTCTCAAATTATCTGCCAGGGGCTTTTCTGCTCCAAGGTATGGCTCCTCTCTCCTTCTCCAGTCCAAGACACACCATACATGGGAGCAGTGCTACAGAGGAGAAGCAAAGCACTGCATGGTTCCAGATCAGAAATTACAGATTCAAACTGTGCTGCAGAAGCCTCCTGTCCCCAAGATTCCCCGGGAGTCGCAGCTCCAGCCACACGTGCTTCCCCTGCTCCTTCTTCCCACAAGAGGAGGACGAGGGTCACGAAGCCCATGCTGGAGGGCTCCAGCTGACATGTCAACACTATGGGGTGGGAGGGAGGCACTGACAGCCCGACAGGTCCTGAGAAGCCAGGGCTTGGTGGTCATGAGGGAAGAGTTGTCTTGGTGGGTCTGTGTACTCCTTTGATTTCCTCACTGGTCAGAGCATCTTCTGCCACCACATCTTTAAGGAGTATCTGCAACCATAGACCCAGCAGCACACAAGGGGCAGCAGCAGTGCCTCCTGCGAGGGAGGGGAGCTGGAAGGGCAAACGTCTCCCAGAAAGTGTGTGGGGAGCTTCTCCCAGGGAAATCTGCCAGCATTTTGTCTGTTGATCTCCAAATTACACCTTTGGCTTTGGATGCGGGATGCTGGGAGCCACGCATGTTGCTGTGGCAACAGAATTGTCCTGAGCGCAGGAAGTGTATAAACATTGTCACCGACGCACCATGAAATCAGTGAGGAGAGCGGAGGAGAAAATAGAAACTCACAGCATTATATAATGTCAGGGCCAAAATGTGGCCAGACCGTGGGCGCTTGCTCCCAGGTTTCCTGGCTCTCCCAGCTGCTGTCAGGTTTCAAAGCCTTGGGTCCCTCCTCACTGCAAAGGCTGGAAGGAATCGCAGTGCTACAAGCTTCTCCTGCTTTGCTGCCCTGCTAGGCTTTGCTAGATACAACCTCCTGGCAGCAAGACTCGGTGAACATGGCAGCCGAGCTCCACCAATTTGGTCAGGGTGGCACCATGGTGCAATAACCAGAGAAATATGCTGTTGTGATATTCAACACCATGGTATCTTAGCCCTATGAGCCACCCACATGTCTCCCGCCCTCGCTGTCTCGGTGGTTGCTGCTGTTCTTCGTGTATTTCTGCTGGAAATGCCTGTTTTTTCTCTTCCAGGTACAGCATCGTCTCGACTGAAGAGGATGGACACAAGGTCTCTGCACTGGGCAGCATGAATGGGCACAGCCGGAATGGGAAGGGCCATGCCCCCCGGCGGAAGCACCGCAACCGCTTTGTGAAGAAGAATGGCCAGTGCAATGTCTACTTTGCTAACCTGAGCAACAAATCTCAGCGCTACATGGCCGACATCTTCACCACCTGTGTGGACACGCGCTGGCGGTACATGCTTATGATCTTCTCCGCCGCCTTCCTGGTCTCCTGGCTCTTCTTTGGCTTCCTCTTCTGGTGCATCGCTTTCTTCCATGGTGACCTCAATGCACCGGCAGTGGGAGGCAGTCCCTCTCTCCTCAAACCCTGCATCATGCACGTGAACAGCTTCCTAGGGGCTTTTCTGTTCTCAGTGGAGACACAGACAACCATTGGGTACGGCTTCCGTTGCGTGACTGAGGAGTGCCCACTGGCTATCATGGCAGTTGTGGTCCAGTCCATCGTGGGCTGTGTTATTGACTCCTTCATGATTGGCACCATCATGGCCAAGATGGCAAGGCCCAAGAAGCGGGCCCAGACCCTCCTCTTCAGTCACCATGCGGTCATCTCTGTGCGGGATGGCAAACTGTGCCTCATGTGGCGGGTGGGCAACCTGAGGAGGAGCCACATTGTGGAGGCCCATGTCCGAGCCCAGCTCATCAAGCCCTACATGACAGAGGAAGGGGAATACCTCCCCCTGGACCAGCGGGACCTCAATGTGGGCTATGATGTGGGCCTCGATCGTATATTTTTGGTCTCACCCATTATTATTGTTCATGAGATTGACGAGGAGAGCCCGCTCTACGGGATTGGCAAGGAGGAGTTGGAGACGGAGAACTTTGAGATTGTTGTTATCCTGGAGGGAATGGTGGAAGCCACAGCCATGACCACACAGGCACGAAGCTCTTACCTCGCTAGTGAAATCCTTTGGGGTCACCGTTTTGAACCAGTTGTCTTTGAGGAGAAGAACCACTACAAAGTGGATTATTCGCGCTTTCACAAGA